GAAACGTTGTCTTCCGTTGTCGAAAGGTCAGAGTGACATTTGAAAAGATTACGAGGCGTTCTTTGAGAAATCTATTTCCACTCAGTTTCTAACCAAAAGAACAAACACGCTAAAAGATGAGAAAACACTAACAAGCTCATTTTCTTTAAGTTAGCAGCATTGTTTCAGCGGGGCTGTCTTTCAGATCGAACGTTTGAGGTGTTGTAAAATGTTGTACATAAAACAGGCGCTCTGTAGACGTCATTTTGATCTACTGGAAATGAAAGCACTTTTTTCTGTAACAGTAATCTTAAAAAATGATCAGCAGAGCCTCAGGTAACGGAAGTTGAAGCCCCCAAGACAGGAAATAAATTAATGATCTACATTTGGTTATTCTGTGTATTTAGGCAATGTCAGATGAATAACAACAGCACCTATAAGGACGTCTTCAACATTTTGAGGGGTTTAGGTCACAGAAGGTTTGACAGTTTGGGGATGAGAGGGCTCAGAGGTTAAAGGTCAGCTACAGAACTGTCAGGGGACTCATTAATGTGTTGTGCTGTGTAATTATCATACATATAAAATAACATGTTTACTTTTTCTCTTGTAAGTTATAAAGCCAGTGCAGGAAGAAGTGTGTGTTTGCAACAATCCACCAAATGATCTGAGTTACAGAGTCTCTCACCCAGGATTTGGTGATATTACCTAATATTCAGATAAAGGCTGTGTGATGGGCTCCTTCTCCATCCTGTTCTGCCTGTCTGTGTGTGTTGCCACAGGTATTGCAGAAAAGTTGTTATTTGTTCTCAATCAAGACGCCAGCACACCTGTGCCCAGCGCACCTGCCTCACAGCAGCCCTCAGACTTCAGTTCCTGTGCGGCTCTCTTCCCTGAGACGCTGCTTCAGCGTTTGCTTGCTCCTGACTGCACTAACTACACACACACACTGGTTGATTTAACTTCCTATATTTCTTTAATTTAGCATAAACTGTTTCTTAATTGGTGCACTTTGCCATGCAGCCTGTTTGTGGTTTCACCGATTAAAGAACAAACTCGAGTTTTGATGTGAGTCGACTTCTTAAGAGCTTTAAAATAACACTAAGTTTCAGTCCCAGCTAAAGCTGTGGTTTTGTATCTCTGCACTTCACTGGTTTTCCTGCTAATGCTGCCGTTCCCACTTCCTTCATTGCCACCTATGGAACAACCAAGGACATGACAGGCCTCGGCTGACCGCCCACACATGCCTGCACTAAATTTAACATAAGAGAAGAAGAAACAACCTCGTGTTATAAAACACTAAAAACTCTGTCTTGTATCTGCTTCTACACTAACTCTAGAGTTTTAAGAGGTAAAGGTTTAATAGATATCTGCCTTCATATTTTGTGTGTGTGATATGAAACCAAAACCTTTGAGCCTCACCTTTTAGTACTGGGTTAAACATAATCTGACAGATTTAAAGTGCATAATGAAAAATAAGCAATCCAAACATTCACTGATTCCTCTGCTGAAAGGATGTGGAGTTTTTTTTCTGCACAGTCTTAACTTATCAGACTTCTCTAAGTTGACTTAAAGATCAGTCTCCTGTCATGTGATCTCACGAGTTCATAAAGGTACATTCTTTGCATCTTCTGTCATATGCTTTGCTATTTAGAAACACGAGTCTTATTGTGTTTAACAAGTTACAAGTGAGTGACTTATAGTTCATAATGAACTCGTTTAAACCAAAAGTGACAGGCAGAGTCTGACTCCAGTCAAAGTTATAGTAAGAAATCATCTTTGTAAAAAGAATGTGTGGCGGCTTATGAGACCAAAAGGGGGGAAACAATATTACCAAAAAGTGCAGAAGACGACACACTTCGTCCACCTTTACATAACTTTTAAGAAGTTCCTTCTTTCATA